TATATATATTCTATTATTATTATTTCTTGTAATTGTAGGTTGCTGGATGGGGGGCAGATGGTGTGATTGTTGGTAGTGCCATGGTGAAGATCTTAGCTGAGGCTAAAGACCCTGAAGAAGGATTGAAGGAGCTTGAAAGCTTCACAAAGTTGCTCAAGGCTGCAACGCCTTGAGAAATTCCATTTAAATTGTAACTTTTTTTTTTATTTCTATTTTCAATTAGTTTTGATCTTGATGGTTAATAAATAGGGCTACAAACAAGTTGAAGGAGCAGCTTGGTTTTTTTTTTTTTTAATACAAGGTTTAAATTGACTCAGAATATTGCTCAGATTGTTGTAGGAAAAAAATATTATTGCAAAAATGTATCAGGATTCCTATCAATGTTTGTCATGTGTACATAGGTTGAATGCAAATGAGTTCCTATTCAATTCAATTTAACTGTAATTAAATTAGAATTGTAATTTAATAATAACCATAATTTTAGAGGCTTTTATAGACATGCCACTCAATTTCTATGTATTTAAATGTAAATTTTATTTTTATATTTATACCATCTGAAATTTTTATATCACATAAAAAAATCACTATTTAATTTTGAAAAAGCAAAGTACAATGTCTTGAAATAAAAATATAGCTTTTCTTGCATATGTAAGTTGGAGCATATTTGCGTCAAAACATACGAATTAAATGGTTTGTATGTAAATTTTCCATACTTTGGGGCATTTACATGCATGCGAGCCAATTCTTGTTTTTTAACATATGATAAATAGTCAAAAAAGACAAATTAACCGATATATATATATATATATTTATATATAATTTTTAGCAGTGAGAAGTATACGAAGCCATTTTCTTTTAATATTTCTGATAAAAAAAAATAACCGAGTACTCTAAGAAAAATTTCTTGAAAGATTTACTTACGCATCACTTTATATCTTATGTATTTACATATCTACCACATAAACTTTAATTTTTTTTTCACATATGCCAAAATGGCTCGTTGTTCGCGAACAGTTTGTGTTCGGCTCGTTAAGAAGCTCGTGTTCGGCTCATTTTGGATATATATATATATATATATATA